CATTGATACATTTGTGACGAAGAAATCTCAAATGATACCATTGATACATTTGTGACGAAGAAATCTCAAATGATAACATTGATACATTTGTGACGGTGAAATCTCGAATGATACCATTGATACATTTGTGACGAAGAAATCTCAAATGATAACAGTGATACATTTGTGACGGTGAAATCTCAAATGATAACATTGATATATTTGTGACTTTGAAATTGGAAATGTTAATATTCCTACATTCACTTTTCACTTTCGTTATCAGTGTCGTCTGGAATGATAACATTTCCAACAAAATGGCCAGTTGTAACCTAAATGTAACCAATGATGATTAAAGAAATTGACCATATTAAACACGTTACCAGTGGAACCTATATGCTTTGTCAAGGCTCGCCGAAAACAGCATCCGATTACTAGGTCCGACCTTTTTTCATAAACGAACAACTGTGGTCCAACCGGTTCAACCGTTTGGGTCGCTATCAACGAAAGCGCCCTGTATAACATCCTCGATATCAAGTTACGCTCACTTTCGCTCTCTGCACCCTTGGAATATGTCAGAAAAATTGAAGGCACGCAGCTAGCTATTTGATTAGTGTCAGGTAAAAAGTCCTGACCAATCGCTAAGACTGTGCTTGTTCTTTGAAGATAACAAAGGAGCAATGCCAGACTTCAAAGCTAGTAAGTTTTACCGTTACGCGACCGCGAGATTATTTTGATGTTTATCAAAGGGTCAAACTTGTCTTCTCGTCTCATACACAAGGTGGCGCACACTGAGCCTTCAATTTTGATATGCCATATTCCAGGGGTGCAGAGAGCGAAAGTGAGCGGAACTCCTGGATATCGAGGATGTCTAGATAAAGATGTCACTAGGAGCTTATTCTCACCTTGAATTCACGTGTTGGAAATGACAAGGTCAAGCTGATGTACCCCTGTAACTGTAGAGCTTGCCATAGTTTTTCCATTAAAAGGATCTTGTCCGAGCAATCAATTTTGTACGTTTTATAATATTGCAAATGTGAGGAAATCCAGGCAAAGAGAGTATCGTTCAAACTTTTACCATTTATCATATTCATAATGGCCTGTCGTTTTGATTGAGTGATGTTGATGACATTCATCACGTGTTCAATATCAGCGGTGAGCGTCTCCTGTTTACAGAGAATTCCGTAATGTACGGTGCACGGGTTACACAGGCTTGTTACAGGTAAAGTGTGTGCATCCACAGTGCCTTTAGTCGCTATGTAATCTAAAACGTCCTGGAAAGACACATTGTATCCACAGTAACCGTTTCCCATCTTATAACGACCTTTATCTTTGACCCTTGCCAAGCCTTTCCCCCACGCACCCAGAAGAAAATACTTGTCAATAAAAGCTGAAAAGAGTCTTGTGTATGGATTTCTGGTCACAAGAACAATCTTCGTGGAATCTGATTTATGATTAAGAAGAGTAGAAAAATCCATTTCGTTTCGACCATGAACACGTTCTCTGTTGACGTGGAACATATTTCCGAGTTCGCCTTTGTACTCCAGAGCGGAAACAAGCGTCCCGATAAACGTACTTCCGGACTTCGGTGTTTTACAAAAGGCAATATTGTTGGTCTTGGCAAAAAAGAACCGGGGCGTTCTTCCTGTCACCCTCCTCATTGTGACGGTCGCACAGCTCTCGTATAGATCTGTAATTCTGTCGCGGTATATCTGGGAGGCATCGGGTCGTCTCATGTTGTCAACAAAGTATTTGAACCGTTTTTCCGTCATATATTCTTTTACATCTACAATAAAAATAAAAATAAATAATCTGTCATGGGAAATACATCAACAACAATTGCCCCCATCCTCTATATCCGAGGGCTTACGTATACGCTCACTGTCGCTCTCTCTGTACCCCTGGAATATAACTTAGCAAAATTAAAGGCACGCGGCTGGCTATTTGCTTTGTCTCAGGGATAGGCTGATACCGGCCTTTTGAAGATTGCAGACGAGCGACTCCCGACTTCAAAGCCAGCAAGTTTTACCGTTCATTCTGAACGCAAGCATATCTGCCTCTATATTCAGATCATAGTCCATATTACGAGACCGCAATATTCTTCGGATGTACATCAAGGGATCAACTCGTGTCACCACCATTACTACAAAACAAATTAAAACTTAAGAATTAAAAAATTCCATCAAAAAACTAATATCGTATATGTTACACATACATTTTTACCTTATTAACTTCGTCAGTTTTCGGTCCAGGCTACTAGCCTAAGGTAAAAACGCATGTAAAATACAGTTAAACGCTGTTGAAATTTACTTTAATACTTTCAACGACATTTTTCCTGCCAACACTTGGGGCAAAAAGAAACGCGCCGGTACACATACATTCTACCTGTGTTAGTTGGAGGATCGGTTATAAATGCCCTTTGGCCATGGCATTCACAGGGGGTAACACCTCTGAGGTAATTAGTTCACCTGTTAATTCACAAGTAGGTATATCGTAAGGTATATAAGAACTCCAGGTAATTACCATACCTTTTAATTAGCAGGTAATATGTTTAGTTGTGTAAACTTTGTATTACTATCTCTCAGCTGAAAGTTACAGTGTACATTGAATGTAGTTGATGCAGGCACGGAATTATATTTCCATGAATCAGGCTTGAATAAACATATATTGGTTGCTGTCATTACTTACACTGTTTTGTAGATAATATATACAGTAAATATGTAAACGGGGCGTGTCAGATTGTGTACACGTAATTAACAGGATATCGTATAAGTCGTGCTACTGTGACGTCACACATCACGTGACCTTGTACAGATTTCAAAATATGCATATATAGATGGGGAGTCACATGGCTATGGCCTGTCTATCATCTGAGTACCGAGAGAGAGGTATCGGTCACTACACACTATTGCATCAAATGACCGTAAACTATGAAATTATGAAAAATAGTGACCAAAACCCAAATTAACTTTAAGGAGCTCCTTAAACCGGCTTTTTCCTTATTTAATAAGATTTCTTAACTTAAGTAAAATCACATTTCATCAGAGACGTATATACTACACTCTGGCTTTATGTGTCTCTGGTTTCATGAAGCTTCCTCAACTTAAATCCTTCCTTAAATTTAAGGAATCCCTTAAATATTTAAGGCAACGTCAACCCAGACTTAAATCGCTAGGGAGGGAGCTCGAGCTCCTTAGATAGGTTAAGAAACGTTCATGAAACGCATTTTTCACAAAATCTTAGCTAAAGAATCCCTTAGCGATTTTAAGTTAAGGAACCATTCAAGTTAAGGAATGATGATGGTACCAGGTATCTCTATTTTATGCATGTCTGACTTATTGGTTTTCTGTCAGCCCAGAGCCTGTTCATGATACACACATTGAAATTATCTAGACTACATGAAAATAAACAACCTAATACAGATTTTCTGAAACATTAAGTTATCTTTGATAATAATGATAACATGAATCGCTTAAAGGTACATTTCAAAAATCAATTAAGTGCTGTTTTTGTTTGTAGTGAGATAGATATAAGAAATGTCACAACTGCAAATTATCTTTTGATGTTTTACTTTGTAATGCTTTAAGATATGATTCAATTTGAATACTTTTGTCATATAATTTGTCTGTGGTACATGTCGTAGCTGCAGATCTGTTTCGTGTTTGAAGGCGCGACATTTTACTACATTTTAGCTAGATTAGCTTGGCTGGTGTCATTAATGAAGAAGAACAGTTTAATGGTCTCTATGTATAACTCTTTTAATTCAAATTTTGTCCTAGTTTTCATGTTGACCGCTTCGAGTTTTCTATTGTTATAAATGGACGGGATGCCACAAGAAATATTAATTGTTATCATTTTATACTTATATTGAAAAAAGTAAATAGTAAAGGAAGCACGGTAGATGGGCTCGTGACCGAACGGTTGGGGGTTTGAGTCACGGCACGGCGTTGAGTTGTATTTTTGAGCAATATACTTTACTCCACTTGTTCCAGTCTACTCAGCTGTAAATGAGCACGTGGTTGGGTAGTGCTAGAACTGTAGAATGCTAGCTGTAAGTGCCTAAATGGCAGCACCGGCTGTATGCTCCTTATGGAGTTGAGAAAGATAGTGGCTGGTTGCAAAGGCCCTATAACCACGGATACTAATTTGTGAACCACTTTGAGACGACCTACGAACTCGGTTGTGGTAAAGCGGTATATAAGTACAAGATAACCGAAACATAATATATATAATATTGTCCTTTTCAGTAACAACAAGTAAAATTGGATTTATTATAAAATGAAATATATAGGCAGACAGGGTAATGTCTTCCTTTGCCAGTTTTGTGCTATTGCCATCAAGTAACCATTAATTATAATAAAGTAGGATGGAATTGAAGTGTTATTCATTGTTGAAACATTTGTCCACATATGTCACAGTTATCATTTATCTGGCCAGTTTTATCCTTAACAAAACAGAGACGTTTAAAGAATTACAGACGTCCGCATTTAGGATTGCTCATCAGCTTTTTGCATATTTGGCCATCACTAATGTGTGCTTACATTGCGGTGATCATCCAGATTTTGTCCGAAATAACTTATTTCTTTATTGCCTTTCCTTATGTTTTTGGTAACATAAATAAGATGGCTGTGATATTAAAGCAATCCTGATAAAACGTTTTCATTAAAAACCATTCTAGGCAAATAAATATCTAATAATGGGGCTAGACCCAAGGGTGCATCCAGGATTGTGTTGGTTTCTTTATGCCATGTTAGCACACGTGTTTGGTTGTATGGTTGGAATATCAAATACATGTATTTCAATGTTATAAACCTGTACTAAGGCCTAATGGGCGGGGCTGAACCATGAAAGTACTTGTACTTGTAGCCTAAGTGTATCCATATTTTCATGACCAGCAGTTACATAAATAGTTGGCTGTTTCTACCGTTTCCATGCACATGTAATGACCAAGAGACTAAGTCCTAAGGGATCAGCATAACTAGCAGGCTATCATAAAAACATGAGTGTAGTCTTCCGTTCATGCCAAGCCAGCACAGAAATGGTCCAAGGGTTTTAGGTCTGAACCGTTCCATGATTTGATCCAAACACTTAGTCCCCATGCCTATGCATCATAACTGTCTCTCCGTGGTTATTAGATGGGGAAATATAGGAAAGGTTTACTAAAATTGCAACAGCTTGTTGTAAGTGTTCTGTGTAATAAGAATCAATCAAATCAGAACATTATTAATGTGTTTTTTAAAATAATTTTAGGAGCTTAAGTTCTGTTTTATATTCCCGAATATTCATGTCCCCTCATGATCAATGTAAGTATTATATGTACCAAGTATCATTGAAATTGGTGAAGCATGTGCTCTTTACTAGTGCAAACCATGCTTTTAAAGGGGCATAACTTCATCCAATTTCCATACTCTATTCACACACCCTTAATTTAAGACTATATATTCCCCATTCAAAACCAAACAAAATCTACATTGGCCATCTTGGTCTTTGGGAAAAGAGGTCATGGGGGTTTTCACACATGTGATCATTTGCTACAATGCCACAATATCAAAATTATAAAAATAACTCTGTTTATAGAACAGAAGATATAGCCATGATTATTTATGCAACCAGTAATTTCAAAGCTTTGAAACCTTAAAAGTAATTGCATTATTATATAATGTAAAAACACTAGGAGGAATTCCTGTTTGTTTGGTATTCTATCTGAAAAATTAGCTCGTGTCCATTGTGTAAACACAGCCATAGCCTTTTATATTTGAGTATTAGTCCTTAATTGACATAAGAATTTAAAAAAAAACCTATTGCATATCTGTATGACAATGAATATTACCAAGTGCAAGTTCAGTTTGAACTTCTGGCTCCTGAGATCATCTCATAGTGGTAACAGACAAATAGACGGAGAGACGGACAGAGGACAGATAGACAGATGGACATCATGATTATAAATATAGTAACCTATTGCACGCAAACCCCAAATTAATTTTGACCAACTTTGCTTCATAATGTTATAACAAAATGTTCACTAATTAAGATAAACATAATTTGGCCTTATAATTAATCTTTGACCAGATTTCCTTGAACTTTGGTAAGTTGACCTCTATTTGATTTAACATAAGTATTTTAGAAAAAATAAACTGTGTCTTCAATCAAAATGCGTCCGATTTCCTAAAAATTTAGCAGGACTTTTCAGAAACACATGTTACCAGTGGTCATAAAAAGTATCGACAACATCGAAACATTGAAATAAGGAGAAGTTTCATATCTCCACGAGTAATAAAATTATGGAATGATATTTCATCAATAAATAGAGTTGATTAAATCTATTCACCGCTTTGTAACCACCTATCGGTAGCATGATCAATTCATTATCATGGGTTGTCAGTATGGGAATAGTTGGGAACGACTTGAAAAGAACTTGAGAACGGATTTTCCCACTTAGGAATGTATTTTCTGAAAGAAAATAAAAATAAAAACCGTCCGCTTGCGCCAAGTGACGTCCTGTACCGTAAATAGTTTCCACACAAAAATGATCCGCGTAGGAAAATAGTCCGTAGTAAACAAATCAATATAAGGTTATGAACACATATTTTGAGCTGAAACATTTTGAAAATTCCTTATCATCTTTTGAAACATGTTACGTAGAAATGTCTTTTTAAAAAGAAATCAATACTTTAATGTTTTAATTCAAATAAACACACTCTATATTAAAACAGATTTGTTTATAGTTAACCTCGATATATTGCCGAGTCCATACCTGGATATATCGCCAATTGTTCCAGGTTTCACCTAAAATACCACCAACTCTCTTCAAAGTATAGGTTTTTTCCCCCGTAACGATTCCTTCATATTTATATCTATCTCAATTTATTGCCAAACCCCTTTATTACGCCAAAAATATTGCTGGACAAATATTGGCAGTATACCGAGGTTTAACTGTATGTATACTGTTAATTTAACCGTATTTCTTAAAGTCGAAAACTGAGTTACATTGTATGGACTTACTGTTTAGTCGACCTGGGTATGATATCAGAAACCAGCACATCACCAGACCTAGTACTCCACTAACTATTAAGCTCACGAAGAATTGCCTTTTGTTCATTGTCCGCGCTATGTTGCGTATGTCTATATAAGCTGAGTTTATCTGACAACGTTCATAATCAAAGAACCTGGTAAACAGATGAATGTCAACTGAATAGTAACGTACTCCAGACAGGGTTGGATCCAAACACACAAAAACAAAGAAAAGAAAAGACAAAAATAGTACGTGATTAACACTTATAATCAAACACAATAAGTCAACCCGTTAGTAAGTTGCGTTATGATATCCTCGCAAAACTGGCTAGCTGTTCTGCTATCGATTTAATGTATACATATATATACACGTAAGTGGGTGTCGCTAATATGTTGGGACGCTCATTTTACCTGTAGTTTACCATGTGACATATCATCAGGAAACCTTTCACCCCTAGGTAACTTTAGTAGCCTCTACCATACATTGATCTGGATGAGTCCATTATGATCTACAGTGGTGAAAGGGTTAACAAGTCAGCCAGCCACGTATACACCGGTGATAAATATATGTAAACGAACGAGGTTATACAGAACGGTATGGTTGATGAGGTCCCAAGCGAATGGCGGCTGGTTATCATTTTAATCCTCTGCTGTCAGCTAAAAACGGGGTAAATAAATTCTGACAAGAGCATGGACATTTGAATTACATTAATGTTTAAAAGTTAAGGTGAAAAAGTAAATTATACATAAATTACAAATTAGAGTAATAAGTGTTTACCACATTAATGTGAGAAATAATTATTAGAAAGTATATTCAGTTCATATATTTAAGTACGGGTAGATAATAAAAATAATTCTCTATCATATCTTTAATATTTCTCAATCATTATAGAGTATCTGTTGGTTTATCCGGTGATGGTCTAGTGGGCAAGACTCGAAAGATTTGATAGTTCTTGATAATAATTATCATCTCCAGTGACAGGCTGTTGCAGATGTCAACAGTTCTGTGACAAAATGAATTCTTTCTCGTGTTTAGACGCGTTCTATCCTTGTATAGTTTATACTCATGACCCCTTGTAACAGTATTTTTCTTCTTTTGTGACATGAACTTGGACACCTCGAATTCGGGATCATATTTCCCTGTCATTATTTAAAAAAAAAAAATCAATCATGTCTCTCCCGACGCGTCTGTAAACCAATGTTGGGAGCTGCAACACCTCAAGTCTCATTGGGTAGGACAGGTCTACCATAACCGGTATCAATTGAGTTGCTCTTCTCTGGACGTTTTCAATGGCTTCTATATGTTTTATCAGGTGCGGGCTCCAAACTTGGTTGGCATATTCAAGATGAGGTCTTACGAGTCCTTTGTACAGAGCTTTGAATGTATTATGGTCCATATATTCCATAGTTCTCCTAATTACACCCATATTCGAATTTGCTTTATTGATTGTTTTCAAGTATATGTACATCAAATGACAGTTTGTTATCAACTGTTACATCCATATCTTTTCCGTTTGCGGTAAACGGAAGTTCCTTACCATCTTCTAGGTTGTACGTGAAGGTAATGCTATCGGGTTTCCTATTATCATGGCTTTGCATTTGTCCGGATGGAAGTGGAGTAGCCACTTGTTATTGCCTTTAGCAAAACTTCCTGTAGAGCCTGGCAGACCTGGTTGTTAGATATTGCCCGGTACATTTTTGTATCGTCAGCGAATAGGTATGTTCTTGTTTCTATGCTTGTTATTTCCGGTAGGTCATTAATATAAAACACAAACAGGATTGATCCAAGAACAGATCCCTGTGGAATGCCACTACTGATATCTTTCCAAACTGACGTTTCTCCGTTGACCGTTTTCCGTTATTTCCGGCTGTGAAGAAAAACATTGATACACCTGGTAATATGTCCCGTTAATCCATACATACTCATTTTATGGACGAGTCTTCGATAGGGGACTTTATCAAAAGCCTCCATGAAATCGAAATAAAGCACATCAACACATCTTCCCTCGTCAAGAAATTCCATCCATACATCAATCACTTGTATAAGTTGTAGTACGGTGGATCTTCCTTGGACGAATCCAAATTGGCTTTTTCCCGAAGAGTTTGTTATTTTGCATGTGATTCATAATTGTATATTTACATTTGCATGGCATTGTCACTATATAGCCTCTTTGAAAGCTGTGTCGTTGATGGGACTTTAATTACCATGCAGCACGAGACACAATTCTTAGCGTATTAATACAACACTGACCGGAACTACAATATCAAATATAAATAAACATGACGGCTGTTGAAATATCGCTGGACATTGTGAGACTTGACAATGTAATTGTAAATTTATGAGCAAAAGAAAAAAGAAAAAAACAAACTTTTATTACAACAAAAACAAGACCAAGGTCTGCAATATCGTACAAAATGCACATCGGTTGAAATCACCAATGCCGGCAATGAAAACAATTTCAACTCATGCATTGTTCTCTTTTATGTGTGTCAGTCCATGTGCATGTGTGTGTCACGATGTAAGGGTGTGACCATGGTTGTGAATGCATTGTCTTCTCTTTCAATAGTGTTGCATTGTACGTGTATTGTTCGTTATTTCTGTAACTCTTCATTTCTGGAGGAAATAATAATAGACCTACTGACACATGTTACAGACCACTGATATAGTCACAGCACAGATAAACCTTTCAGACATTTGTAACGGCTTGTTCTCAGTTCCCCCACTTTTTAAAATAACATGAGGGGAAAGATGTTGTTAGAAGGATTATAGTCTGTTTCTAAGTAGTGCTGACAGTATTTACCTGTGTGTCTAAGGTGGTGTTCTATCTAAGCTAGAAAATGATCAACTTTAATTTAACAATACATCATATAAGATTTTCAGATTTCTAATTACAAATATTAAAATTTAAGATATTTCAATATTAATTATATTTATATAAAATATATACATTAATTATTTCCATTTTGTAGTCCTTGTGCTACTGATGACATATGAAAATATGAAATGTGTTATTTTATTTTGGAATAATTTTGTACTTTAAACATGTTATTAAAATTGTATAATAAATAGTTATAAAATGCAACTTAATATTGTAACATTTGATAAGATGCCTAAATACCTAGTAAGAATGGTAATGTGTGACTAAGAGTGTGGTGTTTAACAGTTGATGATTAAACTTTAAAAAACAAAAATCATCTTAATTCCTAGATGTTTGAAGTATATTAATATAACTATTATAAAAATAATTCAATATCTATAATGATCCAAGCTATCATTTCCATCCTGGTGAGCTAGAAGTGATCACAGCCTATGCTCATTAGTAAGATAATGATGAGTTTTAACCATTATCTAAGCACACCATGAGAACCGGACGATGGACTTTATGGAGTACGTGAACGCAGAATCACATCTCTTACATCTGGGAAAGATTACAACAAAAATGTGTGACACTTGAATGTCAGACTGTAGTGAATATTTGCGATAGTAACAGTTCTTTTTTTTTTGCTTGGCCTTTTATTTTTTTATTAAGACGCAACAATCCAACATATTTTGCATTTCGGCATCGTTTGTTGGTGTTTAAATGATAAATAAAATTGCTAGTGCCAATTGGAGGGTAAAACAATTATTAAATATCATTTAAAATGTTGTCTTATCTACAAAGCGTAGCTGGTCTGTACATCTACATCTGTGCACTAAAATGTTCGATTGATTTGAAAAATGTTTCATTACTTAATTAAGGATAAAGATCACATTAGTTCAAAATTTCATATTAAATTGATTTGATATCTATTCCATGCATTTTCGCTACAAGAAATTATTTACTCTTTTTTTTTTTCACCGTATTCATAAATGCCGACTTAGGGAAATTTGTGCAGTTTTACGCTATAGCTCTTTAAGTATATATTTTAGCTTGTCTTGTATTTGGTGGCTTAAACAGTGTAATGTAAATGAAATGTAATGTATAAGTGTTGATATATTTGACTGTAAACAATTACTATTTAGTTATTGTTATAATATGCATTACAATGTACATCATGTATGCATAAATGAATTTTAAATTGTTAACCTAAAATTTGATAAACTGACAATTAAGTGTTTATTATTTTATTTTATCAATTTCATACCCCCCTCCCCTCAATTTCTTTATAATAAAACCTAAAATATATATATATATCCAGAAATACCTTACATATCACATACACAGAAAGCTAAAGCTTAAACAGAAACTGAAGTGTATATTAATTATCTTATTTTATCAGTATCATACCCCAAAATATATTAAAACTTATAGAAAATATATACCCAAAACATACCTAACATATCACATACACAGAAAAGCTACAAGTCAGACAGGTAACTTTCACACATGTAAGTTACATGTGGGGGAAGTTTGAAACAGACTATAATTGGTTTGCCATTGTCTTCATATATTAACACTTTTCTTTGTTCTATAAAAGGGGGGGGGGGGGGGGGGGGGGGGGGANCCCCTCTGTAACGAACTCCTGTGCTCCGTCGCAAGATCACTCACTTCAAACGCCATCAGTTTCACGCGTCTCGCAGCCACGGTTCCTTAGTTTCTGATGACATGTAAGACAAAAATTCAATTCAATTTATTACCAAATGCACATTGCATATGTAGGCGTACAGAATATACATATAGATAAACACTTTACAAATATCTTGTACAATGGCGGAGAACATATGCAATAAATAACGAGACTGTTATAGAATCTACCGACTGTAGTCAGATTCCTATACTATTAACAAACTTTTCTCTTTGCTCATTTAACTTCCAAAAATAACTCCCTCGTGGAGGGCAAGGTCGGATTTACGGTGTTCACTGTATTTATCCATGCGCAAAAATTTGTTCCGGGGGGGGGATCGAAACAATTTCAAATGTAACTTTCAGCTCAGAGTTCTATTGATAAACTTAAATCACCCTATATACATATCATACGCAATTGTATTGATACTGAATTGTGGAATAACATTGGAGTGTTTGTTAAAATTTCAAAGTACTACTTTGTTTGCCAATCAGAACACGTTGTTCCAACTAATATACAAGATACAAGATACAAGAATTTATATTTATAGCCATGTTTGTAACAATGTAACTTTAGCTCAGAAGGGCTATTTTTACGACTTTTAAAACAATCATAATTAATAGTAACAATAAAATATCACAAAGTTAGCATGCATCACAGATTGTTGAATAATAGGTAAAATAGCACGGACATTAAAAGCCATGCGAACATAAACCTCATGCAGCATATAAA